TTCTCCGATGGGAGGCTTGATGTGCCCCCCCAATTTTTCCGGCAAGTGGCGGTGCTCTGTGGCAGCTCTATTCAGCGAAGAAGAAGACCAAGAAGTGATTTCCGGAAAAAAAAATTGAAGCATAAATGGCGTCGTTTGGTAGGTTTTTTTTAATGTTTAGTACTTTGACCAAACAGTACCTGGACCCAATTCCTTTTTTTTCGTATCTACTCTTTAAAAAAGTAAACTTAATCTCTAAATTATCTCATCTTCCCCAATCCCCAATTCCCCATCCTTTGCAGCAAAAAAAGCTAACAACGAACCCTAGGGACTTTTCTTCTTCTTCTTCACAGTTTCTCTCCTTCACTTCTGGATTACTTCTTCAATTCTTGTTCTTCACAGGTAAAGAGGTTCTCATTTTTCAGGTATATTCAATTTAGAGATTTGTTTGTTACTTTTTAAATTTTTGAAAATCGTTAATTTATTTTTTGAGAACTTTAATTTGTTCCCTTGTTCAGGCATATTCCCAATTTGTTTTAGTGATACTTAAATATTTCTTAAACTTTAATGTAAATTCATTTTTTTATTTTTTTATTTAATTAGGTAATCTTGAGATCTGGGATGGATAAATTTGTTATTAGAGAAAAGAAGAATTTGGCATTTGTAAATGATAAAGGCAAGGAAAAAGAAGTATCTTCTGTAAGTTCGTTGGGGCACAACGGAAATCACCAAACACAAGCTATGCAAACAAATCAATCGACTATGCTGCAGAGAAGATGTTGCATCACTGTCACAGTAACAGATGACAGACAGTGTGCTATAACACTTCTCTATCACAAGCACACACAGAAGCAGATGATGCAGAGGACGTTACAGCGTCTACTGGGCAGAACGCTGTAAATATAAAATGCGTAAAAAATAACACCAGATATGTTTACGCAGTTCAGAGAAACTCTCATAGTCTACAGGGCCCACGTCCGTGTAATAGCCCTCCATTAAATCACTAGATGCAAGTTACACCGGTACATAACAACATGATGACACACACTTCTCCGAATAGTTATGACAAAACTTCTAATCTAGGATTTTTAACCCGTACCCTGTACAGATCCGCTTCGGCTATCACATTTCCACTGAGATCACAAGGACAAACGTGTTGGCAGCCCTCTCATTAAGCTCTGGTTCATCTTCTAGTTGTCACGATCTATTTTTCGTTGTAGGACTCCTTCATGTAGATCGTAACTTTCTTCACGCTTGGGAAGCTCCGGGAAGCGACAGGAATGCTCTACATCAGCGTGTATTCTTTGTTTTCCCTCTCGATCGCTCCAAGTAATTCCCAGGGACCTGCTGCGTTTTTATAAGCCAAACAAAACTCAATCCTAGTAGGAATAGGATACTAGAAGTTTGCTTGAACTCTACTTCCTTAATCTTGATCCACAAGTAGCCTAAAGAGTTGGGATTCCTTAGCATGTACAGCTGGAGTTATTATCATGTAATCACAATTCAATCCCAATAGGTCTCTAATTCAGATTGCAGCTTAAAATCCCGTGCTCAGACCTCTGATCCCAAATAGTGTGTTGCAGCATCGTGCTGTAGCATATTCTGTGTCAACCTCGAAAACTGCAGCAACTCTAGAAGTCTAAATAAAATAAACCCCTCCTAACAAATAGAGGTTTCTACCTAGTACAACACCTAACAAATATGGGATTCTATTTTGCTAAAAGATTAGCCAACACCATGGAACTAACATCTTCTTCTCTAGATAAAGAAAGTGTGATTTCAAATGATGATATTATTGCTGATCCGGGATTAAGAAAACCAATCAATAGTTATCCCTTGGAAATTAGAGATGTCATAAGGAGAAGATACTTAGCAAAAGGTCCTTGCCAACCATTGGTGCATAACTTTCCACAAACTTTGACGGGAAAAAAAAGGCGGTTTCAAAGTGTTTGGTTTGATAAGTTTAAGTGGTTAGAATATAGTGTCGCCAAGACTGATTTACGCAATCGTTTGGGAGATGAGATGTTATCGGATTGTCTATTGTGCTACTTTGAGAAAGAAATTTTTTTGAGCATTGATGATGAAGTTATTATGCAGCGCTTTCAAAAGTTAGCATCTCGAAAGAATTTTCTACGGCCTAAAACAACTCTTACTCCTTTGTGCAAATAAAAGATATGTTTTTTTATTATGAATTTCTTTTGTTGTTTTTTAGATAAATTTGTACCCCCATAAACTCTTCCCTGCCTCCGCCACTGATGTCAGCATATGTCTATTTTTGTCTTATTGTACATATGGTGTACCCAAGTAAGGTTGTTCTAGCACTACCCATATTAAATCATGGACTAAATATTTACCACTTATACAATGTGGTGTGCATACAAATTAGTGTATAATTTGACGAAGACCAAGTTAAAAGTGAAACTACGTAGGTTAAACAAATAAAGAACGTGTGATATAAAAAGTAGGCAATGATGAGCGAGGAGTACAACTAGCCTGTTAACTGTAACGTCTGTCTTTTGTCTTGTGTTTTTTTTGTTATAAAATGTGTGAAATAAAAAAAGTGTGAAATATTATACGAGTAATTTCATACCTTTTTTTAATATCAATCTTACTTTTTTATCATCTTAAAATAATTCTGCTCGAAAATGCTTGAGTTATAGACACAAAACTTACAAAATACATAACATACTATTTGTGCATCGTATCTTGAAAATAAAATGATTTTAAGTAATTAAAAAGTAAAAATTTAAATAAAAAATTCAAAAAATCTTTTCTAAGAAGGGTAAATTTGAAGTCAAAGCCAAAAATTAAAAATTGAGAAAAGTCAAACTGAAAAGAAAGTTTTAGGACGGAGGGAGTAACAGACTTGTATATTTTGTTACTTTTGTGTTTGTAGCATTTGAACCTATTCTTCCGAATGATATTTATAGTCTGATATTCAAAATCTTTACTACTCGTATAATACCCTTTCCACTCTAGAATATTCATCTTATTTGATTTTCTTAGTCAAACCAGATAAATTCTAATTATCAATAATATTAAATTAGTTTAATTAAATAAATTCTAAATTTTTTTTACAAGATTATTAAATATAGTAAATTTATTTTTATACTGATATACACTACAATTTTTATTTAATTGATAAAACATTAAAAAGACAAACACTATGCTAATAGGTAATTATACTTAATTATACTCTAACAATCAAATTAAAGGTCTGTCACTAACTTTGGAGGAAACACATTTACAGTGTCAATCATGACCATATATATTACCAAAAAATATAAAGAAATGTTTATGATAATGCTACATTACCAAAGTACGAACTCTTAATTAAGAAATAAAAATATATAGCTCCAATTTTGATATTTTCTTTCAATGTTTTACTCCTATTTAGGGTGATTTTTTAAATCTTAGAGGAACACACTCCTCCACACAAAATAAAATAAGGTCTAAAACACGCTTTTGCACGGAGTCTTTTAGAATATAAAAATCTTTCCTAGACCACAATTACAAGTTTGAGTTTTTAGTTGAATCGATTTTTTAACATGGTATTTGAGCTTTGCTGACCAAGAGGTTATTATGAGTTCAAAATTCAACACTACCTAGTTTGAAAAATTAATGTTCACATGCAAGATGTGAATAACATAGTGTATTAGTAGAAAAGCTAATTTGCTTTTTGTTGTCTACGTCCTAAATTATTTGTCATAATTTTACTTTTATGCTAATTTTGACTATACATTGTAAGAAAATTATACGGAATATTTATTTATAATATACGTTTAATAAATTTGGGTTGATTGATATAGCTTTGATGTATCAATTTTTTTATAAATTTTTTTATATTTAAGATTATATTTATTGATGTATTAATTTTTTTATAAATTTATTTATTTAAATTTATATTTAAGTTGTTGTCAAAGTTAGCATAAATGTCAAATTTTGATGGATAATTTGGAACGGCAGGAATAATATAAAAATGATTTCACTCGATTTATTTGGTTGAAAACTTGCAAAATTTGATTTCATTATATTAATATATAACTCAAATTAAGTATTATTGACAATTAAAAGTCATCTAGTATGGCATTAAAAAGTTACACTAAATAAATATACTAGAACATGTGGACTACAATATAGTGATAATTTTACACTCCTCATTAGGCCATTAGAGGGGTATTTTTACAAAAGTAGAGAGGTACTCCCTCCGTCCTAAAATTTTCTTCCCGTTGCGCAAAACGAAGAAAAATCCCAAGTTTTTTCAATCTATTTTATTTAAATATTGGTATAGAAATAAAAAATAAAACATACATACTCCCTCCGTTTTTTAAAAGTGTTTCTATTTTGACTTTGTGTAAAAATAAGGAAGTGTTAAATTGTAGTTGACTTCCAATTTTGCCCTTGATGTGATGGGTAAAGTAAGATGTGATGGATTGAGTATTAGAGAAAAAAGATGATGTGATAGGTAGGGTATGAAAAAGTAAGGGTAAAAGTGGTTTTTTAAAAGAAAGTGTAAGTGTTTTGTTGGAAGTAAAAAAAATGAAAGAGGAAGAGTTTTGGAAAACGGAGGGAGTATTTAAAAACTACATCAAAAGTTCAACAAAACAAGTGGTGGCAAAAATACTTTATTTTATCATATAGGCCATGAAAAAGCACAAATAAATATAAATTACCGTGAAGTTGGAATAGTGCACTGGAAAGAAAGTTTTAGGACGGGGGAGTATTTTGTATACTCGGTATTTTTTATTTTTTACAAATACAAGATTCATTGGAGATATTCTTTAAAAAGTGATTTTTTTAAATATGAATGGATATGAAATGTTTTCATTATTAACAAGGAGATTTTTAGTTTTCAAAAAAAAACAAGGAGATTTTTATTTAATTTTTTTATTTTGGTTTTGTTTTTCCAGTAGTTTTTTTATTATATCACACTCAATAATTTCCCAACATAAACCATGGGCTGTTTTTTCAACCACTGCATCCAGAGAATGCATATAAAAACACCTCTGCACCACTCCCCATTTCGGCCGGGGAGTTGGAGACCTTACAGAATTCCGGCTTAAATAAAGTTTCTCAGAAATAACTCGGCCATGCTTGGAAAAAGATTTAACCCGGTGATCGGGAAATTCGCCGGAGCAAAGGTCCCCGGCGGCCAAACGGCGACTTCCAAGGAAGGATCAACCAGCCCAAGAAGTCCCCTGGACCACAAGGTCCAATCAGCAAGATGTCCAAAAAGTTACGATTTTGGCGGAGTTGGTCTGGCCATCGTCGCCGCCCTGGATAAATCCGGCGAAATTCCCGGCGTCGCGGTCGCGTACGGGCGGAAATCGAGAGGGTCCGTTCCGATTCCGGTGAACCGAGGCAGGATCCCGGCGAGACACGTCCCGGAACCCGGGAGCCTGGAAGAGGAGTACACGGTGGTCACCCGCCGGCGGGGCGGCGACAACAGGGCGCACACCAGAGTGTACACCGGCGAAGGGGAAATCCGGAGTAGTTACAGAAGCAGTCGGCCGAGCGTCTTCGTGATTTCTCCGGCGAGAATCGGGGACATAATCCCGGCGTACCCGGATCCGGATTTCCTCTCATCTTGCCAATCTTGTCGGAAAAAACTCGACGGCAAAGACATATACATGTACAGGTACGAATTGCTCCTAATTTCATCTCATATCTCTCCAAACAATTCTGTTTCAGATTTCAGAATCCATGTATAAATTCATGGTGTGGGTCGAAATTAAAAGGTGGTAAATTCTGATGAAATGTTTGGGATGACAGGGGAGAAAAGGGGTTTTGTAGCACAGAGTGCAGAAACAGGGAGATGGTGAAGGAGGAGGAGAGGCAGAGAGAGAACAATTGCGGGTCGGAGATCTCGCCGGCGGCCAGCTGTTCTTACACGAACCCTCATCACATGATTCCCACCGGAATTTTGGCCGCCTGATGACCGGACCGGAGTAATGATCGAGTATATGTATGTATAGAGGGTGATCGGGGGTGATGGTGTATGTATACTATAAAAGCAGAGCGTACTCCGGAGTTATTGAATACACGCCGGAGGAATTGAACACCAAGAAAAAGAAAGGGGTTCTTCCTTCTTGGCTTACTCGTGTAATGATTTTTTTTTTAATATTTTTAATCCAAATCTCTTTCTTCTTCTTCTTGTTTCTTCCATTACTGGGGGGAGGGGTTGCCACTCTTCCCTTACCTTTTTACATTTTTTTTTTACATTTTTTCAATCATTGTGTATCATAGATTTTTACAATTCATCACGTCCCGTCAAAACTCCGTCAAACCCGGCATAACATATAGCCTTAGTGGGTGAATTCTCCCCATCCCTTTCATTCTCACTTCATCATTTTCTCTTTTTTCTACACCAGGTCATTATTATTATTATTATTAGAATAATAAAGAAAATAATACAGAGTAATAACAATAATTGCTAGTAATAGTAATAACTATTATTATTATTATTATTAAAATAATAATATTACGAAGTAATGTTTTATATTTATATTTCTATTTACATTAATATTAAAAAAATATGGAGCATTAACTAAAATTATTATTATTCTTTAAATTTAAATAAGATCTATTCAGATTATATCTATTCAGATCAGATCAGTGATATCTATTCAGATTTAAATAAGATCTATTCAGATTATATCTATTCAGATCAGATTATATCTATTTAGATCAGATTATATCTTTTGTTAAGATCACATAAGTTTTTTAAAACTTAGATTAGATTCCATAAGTTCAGAGGACAAACGTAGCCTCAACAATAAGATCATGTGTTATTGCCCGTATGATGTAGAGTGATAAAAATATGGGTGTTATGATAGATGTGAAGGAGTGATGAAGTGTGAAAGTGGAATTATTTTAATTGGTTAATGTAAAAACATGTTAGATTTTGATTGGTTGAATGTAAAAATAAAATAAAAAAATAAAAACAGAGTGGCAACGCCCACGATGGAGGTCACTCTATTTGGGTCACGCCCTTGTCACAAACGAGCAGCGCGGTAATGGCTCCCTCCTAACTCGTCAACATTGAAAATATATTAAAATAGGACTTTCATGTTTTTATTCCTGAAATAAAAGTTAAAATGCATTTACATTGTCAAATGTGGTCATTTACATTACCAAAAAGTATAATAATGTGCACATGTAGATGCCATATTATCTCCACATTACCACAATGCGAACTTTTATTTCAAAAATAAAAATATGAAAGTCTTATTTTATTACTTTTTTTATATTTTAGTATTATTTAGAATGATTCCTATCTGTTTTATGTCCGCAATTCATATAAAATTTGTAGAGTCTTGAACAAAAAACTTGAAAAAAAATGTTAAAACAAAAACTTGATAAGCTAGTAAATAATTACCTCTAAAACGGGTCAAACTTGATAAACTTAAATATTAAAAACTTCTTTGGTCCTTTTGAATCATCTTAGTTTGACGTAAGAATTAATTTTATTAAACTTTGACTACAAATTAAGAAAAAATAGATTAAATTGTGATATAAATTTAATATCAGTAAATTCATTCAATTAAAATATAGTTTTAAGATATTACATTTTTCAAAAAAAAGTCAAAATGTTACAATAATAAAACCGTGAAAAATAAAATACAAAAATTAGAGGAACGGAGGAAGTATCATATACTTAAGCTATTACTCCACTTAAAATTTAAAGTGATTAAAAAAATGCAATCACATTACTCTTTTCGTCTCCAATCACACCCATCCACTTTTATTAAGGATAAAATAAAAGTTTACAATACTTTTTCAACTCTTCTTGAAAAGAATGAAAAAGTCCATTTGGAAAGTTCTTTCTCACCTCATTTAATTGATCTCTGAGTATTTTAAGATTGAACGTTGTGTTTCAAAAAATTTAAACGGTCATAACTTATTGGATCCATTTGAACACGATGACACAAAATAATGAAAATATATTTTCCAGTTCGAATTGACACGACCTCGAAATAACTCAATATGGAAGAATCAAAGACAAATCTAACCTAGCAACTTTATCCTTTTATCAAAAATGTGAATTTTTAATTTCTTAATTTTTTTGAACATGAAAATGTTAAAGAGTTAAAGAGGGTTAATTGAAGTCTCTGTTTTTTGACTTTTTCTAAGAAAAGTTGGAATATTTTAATTTAGTTTTTTTTTTCAAAATAGGGGAAGTGAAGGATACATATTCTGTGACGTATATCCCTTTTGGATTAATTTCTCCAATTTCACCCACTCATGCGAAAGTAAGGCAAAGTGGAAAATAATTACTCATTACAAATTATTACTTGGTTTAGAGAAAAATGTGACTACTTTTCTTAATGAAAAGTTGATAATTAATTTAGTTGAAATAACGGCTGAAGTTATAAATGAAGTGGTTGAAAAATACTTTCTATGTTTGATGGTGTAAATATAGCTGGGCGGATTAACCGGGTTTAACCTGGACACTCGACCCGTAATATAAAACACACAACAAGAACACAAAATATGACCTAGACCGGGTAAATCTCCTCAGTCCGAATTATATTTCTTACTCTATCTCAAGAGTGAACTTTAGTGAGAGAAAAATTGGATCCCCTCCTCTATCAAATATCATCATATTTATAGAGGAGGATTTGTGACCTTCCCCTGTTCATCCATGGACAAAATAGGAAGCTCGTGGGAAGGTCACTGTAGATAATGGAAGCACTGTACAATCATAGAATTTAGCAACTATAAGCCAAGACATGTACTGTTCAATCAAAGACTAAAATGGATATTCTCAATCCAATCAACCCTGCAAAATGACAAACATCCCTTTCACTGTGTGCCTCGTGATGGATGAGCGGCGGGGTGTCCCCTTGACCTCTGACGTGGTTCACCATGC